AGTGATCCACAGGAGATAATGTATTGTGGCTACGTTAGCGTAGTGATTTACAGGAGCTAATGTATTGTAGAACGTTAGGGTAGTGATCCACAGGAGCTAATGTATTGTAGCTACATTAGGGTAGTGATCCACAGGAGCTAATGTATTTGACTAAATTTGTGTAGTCATCCACAGAAGCTAATGTGGCTGGACACTGTGACTCGACGAGCTAATGAGAGGACAGAGATCACTACCATAGGTTCCAGGTATGATTTAACACGTGCTTGACTCATTATATAAGTGAGACGGGCTTATTAAAGTGATTAAAACAAGTGTCCATTTTACAAGAAACATGAAAGTTAACCTAACATCCGATGTGCCACTTGTGACTGCTTTATACAGGTTTGGAGGAAATCTATCCCTGATCGGTAACCCTAGACAACAACAACAACAACTTGTAAAAAAACAAGACCAAACTTTTTATAGTGGTGATATGCATATTATATGATGCTTTCTAAATATGGTTGTTGTTTCATACTATGTTCCAATAACGTGATACCTTATAATTTCCAGTTTGTAATATTAACTGAGAAGGGGCATGGCCTAATAGTTAGTGTGCTATTGATTAGCTGTCTTTTCCATAATCTATCAATTCAAAATGACGGTGGTTGGCAAGCGCAAATAGCCCTTGTATAGTTTTGCGGAAATATCCGAAACAAACCAATATCACCTGGTGTTGTGGAACGAGGCAAACGCAATGAGCCTAAATCTGAGTTCAAATCAATAGGAAAGCAATGCAACGTTGGCGTTTCGACTTTGCCGGTCAGTTATTCACCCGTGTTAGCCAGGTTTTTAGTAGTATAAACAATGTAACTTTTATTCTTTTTTAGCTGCGGCAGAGCAGCTCATAGAACGGCTCTGAGTTTTTTTTTTTTTCAAGTACAAACTTTTAACTCGTAACTCCGTCATCTTTTGTTCGATTTGAGATCTAATTAAATTTTTGGACTCAGAAGATCAAACCCTTTCGATTGATGTATTTGACCATGCCCAAGGTCTCATAGATTAATTTACTTTAATCCCGCCTAAAAGGATTTCAATTTCAAGTTAAATTGGTGGAGATCCTAGTGAATAATAAAATCGAATCGGGTATGCGCGCGCCTCACATTTGGTATTGCTGGCGCACAAAAATATTGTTAGCAAAATGTAGAAAAAAAGATCCCATAGATTAATTTACTGTAATCCTACCTAGAATAATTTCAAGTGCCGCGGCTATTGAGGTTTCCCTCTTGTTTTTTATTCATGTTACTACTAGTTCCTGTTGCCTCAATTGTTTCTTGTTAAACTTAGTGATTTTAATATTAGATCTTTAAATGTTAATCTTGATATAACTTGACTCATGTTGTAGACTACATACGGAGCTTCAGATATTATGTAACTTGGCTCTTTTTATATTAGATATCAAACCGATGTACGTTTGGTCTCTTTATACTAACTTGACTGTTTTTTTTAACATGTAAAGTGTTTTAGTCATTATAGAAATTATGATAGAATGTAATTCATTATTGAGGTTATGATAGAAAGTAATTCATTATTGAGGTTATGATAGAATGTAATTCATTATAGAGGTTATGATAGAATGTAATTCATTATAGAGGTTATGATAGAATGTAATTCATTATAGAGGTTATGATAGAAAGTAATTCATTATTGAGGTTATGATAGAATGTAATTCATTATTGAGGTTATGATAGAATGCAATTCATTATAGAGGGTATGTTTGTTTGTTTGTTTTGAATTTCGCGCAAAGCTGCACGAGGGCTATCTGCGCTAGCCGTCCGTAATTTAGCAGTGAAAGACTAAAGGGAAGGCAAATAGTCATCACCACCCACCGCCAACTCTTGGGCTACACTATATTACATTATATACACCCGATGGTATTACATTATATATACCTGGTCGTATTACATTATATACACCTGGTGGTATTACATTATATACACCTGGTGGTATTACATTATATACACCTGGTCATATAACATTACATACATCTGGTCGTATTACATTATATACAATTGGTCGTATTACATTATATATACCTGGTCGTATTACATTATATACAATTGGTCGTATTACATTATATATACCTGGTCGTATTACATTATATACACCTGGTGGTATTACATTATATACACCTGGTGGTATTACATTATATACACCTGGTCATATAACATTACATACACCTGGTCGTATTACATTATATACAATTGGTCGTATTACATTATATACACCCGGTGGTATTACATTCTATACAATTGGTCGTATTACATTATATACACCTGGTCGTATTACATTATACACACCCGGTGGTATTACATTATATACACCCGGTCGTATTACATTCTATACAATTGGTCGTATTACATTATATACACCCGGTCGTATTACATTATAAACACCCGGTCGTATTACATTATATACACTCGGTCGTATTACATTATATACACCCAGTCGTATTACATTATACACACCGGGTCGTATTACATTATATACACACCGGATCATATTACATTATATACACACCGGGTCGTATTACATTATATACACACCCGGTAGTATTTTATTATATACACACCCGGTAGTATTACATTATATACACACCCGGTAGTATTACATTATATACACACCCGGTCGTATTACATTATACACACCCGGTCGTATTACATTATACACACCCGGTCGTATTACATTATATACACCTGTGTCGTCACACTCAGTACTAATTAATAATTTATTTTTAGGTTGCCAGTCCTGTTGGAAGCGCTTATTACTACTTTATCCCTACATTTATATCTATCTATCTATAGCATCGTTAGTTTCTTCGTTTATAAACTTCTAATGTTAATTACGTCACAAACAATATTATCTAAAACGTTTTTCATCTGATTCCAGTCTGCCAGAGTTCATCATGTGTCAGACGATTACCATATTTGGCGAATTGCAATGAACTCTTAGAGAAAGTTATCAGATTTCAGTCATTTTTAAAAGCATTTTGACAGTAACATTCCAAGTTATAAACATTATGTGCTGTAGAGAATATTGAACTTGAGTTGGCTTTGTTGCGGACTTACAACGCTAGAATTCGGGTTTCGATACCCATGGTGGGCAGCGCACAGATAGCCCATTGTGTTGCTTTGTGCTTAACTTCAAACAAACAAACCGGAGCTGTGGGATTTCAAAGTCTGCTGAAGACTGTCATTAAATATCCTCGCTCCGGAGCTGTGGGGTTTCAAAGTCTGCTGAAGACTATCATAAAAACCCTCGCTCCTGGGTTTCGTCATGATGCATAGAGGCTACAATGAACTAACCAAGCTCCTCTATTTACCGATATTACTTCCGTATCTATTCGAAAGGGGGGTCGGTACGGAATAAATAGCTCATTAAGACAACCGCCCGTAGTAGCTGAGCACGTGAACCAGGTATGGTTCCGTTAATTTGTGAGAGGAGGTATGAACGTGGCGCTCCCAAGAACCCTAGGGGGACCATGAACACAAAATCAGGCCAATTTGGATTCAGTGACCCTGAAAACTATGTCTTAGATCCCCGATAATACCTAGAGTAGCCTTCTGTTTTTTTTAGCCCCTCTTTGTACGAAGCTACGTCATGTAGGTGAGGACATCTTTCGAGCAGCCCAGAGTTCGCCTGCCAAGTTTGGTCCTGCTAGTTCTATAACTGTTTGAAGACTTATCTAGACGTACATACATGCCAAGTTACAAGCCGAATTAACATAGGATGCCGTTTAACTTAAAGGAACATAAAAATATTTCTTCACAGTTTGTAGAGAAATTTGCTTGTGCTTTGCATTCTGGGATCTAATGGAATCTGAACTGTTTCCTGGAAAATATAACATATTAAAAAACCTCGAATATTTTAATATTAAGTTTCGGTTCTGGATACTTGTTAAAATGTATTCTTATTCGGATATTTCTTCCAGTTCTATAATAAGATAGAAAATAAAGGTTATGATAGAAGTTTATTTGTTGTAGACGGGAATTATAGAAAGTAATTCGTTTTAGAGGGTTGTTGTAGAAAGTAGTTCGTTCTAGAGGTAATGATTGAAAGTAATTCGTTTTAGAGGTATATTGTAGAAAGTAGTTCGTTCTAGAGGTAATGATTGAAAGTAATTCGTTTTAGAGGTATATTGTAGAAAGTAATTCGTTTTAGAGGGTTGTTGTAGAAAGTAGTTCGTTCTAGAGGTAATGATTGAAAGTAATTCGTTTTAGAGGGATATTGTAGAAAGTAGTTCGTTCTAGAGGTAATGATTGAAAGTAATTCGTTTTAGAGGGATATTGTAGAAAATAGTTTGTTCTAGAGGTAATGATTGAAAGTAATTCGTTTCAGAAGGATATTGTAGAAAGTAGTTTGTTCTAGAGGTAATGATTGAAAGTAATTCGTTTCAGAAGGATATTGTAGAAAGTAGTTTGTTCTAGAGGTAATGATTGAAAGTAATTCGTTTTAGAAGGATATTGTAGAAAGTAGTTCGTTCTAGAGGTAATGATTGAAAGTAATTCGTTTTAGAGGTATATTGTAGAAAGTGTGTGTGTGTGTGTTTGTTTGTAGTTAATCACAAATTACACAAAGAGATATCTGTGCTCTGCACATCACGGGTATTGTAACACAGATTGTAGCGTTGTAAGTCTACAGGTATTCCGCTGTGCCACTGGAGGGATATTGCGGAAAGTAATTCGCTATAGAGAGTTATTATAGAAAGTAGTTCGTTGTAGAGGGTTACGATGCCATTCAAATAGAAACTATTTTTTTCAGGTGGAAGTACACTGTGTGCATTGTCTTCTATATGGAATATGAGCGTATAAACATCTCCTGTAATAAATGAGCGAGCAGATCTTGAAAAGATCAAACTAATTAACACATCATAATGTTAAACTTTGGTTCTGTCGGTCTTAATTGATCGTCTAGATTCATTAGACGAATACTGCTTAATAACAGACACTTGTTCATTTCAGCTGAGCACCACGATCATGGGGAAACGGGAAGAGACACTACATAAAAACAACATAACTCAGCACCAAAAAGATGCATCTCGAAAAGCTCTGCTCTCTTCAAAAGATAACTCTCATAATAACTCAACATGGTCTCATCAGGACTTGTCTTGCAGCTTCAGTCAAAATTCCACTAACGTGAATTTAACAGAGAGTGGTGATCAAAATTCGTGTGACAACTCCGATAAAACAGAGCAAGTGAACTTCAGCAGTGAAATTTCTCGAAGTGAAAATTGGATATCTACTGAAAAAGAAGTGACAAACAAAAAAACCAATGCCTTCTCACGTCGTCAGATTAGTGTTTTATGTTCTTTAGCTATAGGAAACCTCCTGGTAGGAGCGTGCTATTCTCTCCTAGCCCCATTTTTTCCTCAAGAGGTAAGTACATCTGGATTAGAAATATTTATTTATTTACTAGAAAAACCAGCCCTTCAAAAACGACGTTTTGGGGGATATGAGTGTAATAAGTTATAGAGTGTAATTTATCACTTTATTAAACCAAGGTAGTTGATGTAAAACCTGACACAATACCAAATAAATTACATAGGTGTTAGTCAAAAGTCAAGCTGCTGTTTTGTTGTACTTTTCACTTTACTTGAAAGCTGATCTTTAAAATATTTAATGATGTTGACTAAGTTGAACATTATGCTCAGTTCTTATACTACAGTAATATATTGAAAGCTGATCTTTAAAATATATAACGATGTTGACTCAGTTGAACATTAGGGCGTTATAATTTAACGGTCTATCCCACTATTCGCTGGTAAAATATTATCCTAAGAGTTGACGGTGAGTGGTGATGACTTGCTGCCTTCCATCTAGTCTTTCACTGCTAAATTACAGACGGCAAGTGCAGATAGCCCTCGTGTAGCTTTACCAGAATTTCAAAACAAAATTCGCGAATCTTTGCGCTTGGGGTAGAAGGCAGATTTACACAAGCCGCAAACGAAGGGTTAAGGACCAGATACGTCTGTTGTTCGTATATTATTACTAATTGACGTCATTTATCTCACACAAATCGTGCCATATTAATGGCACCGAGTTTTCAGCAGTTTTGTATCTAGAAATTAGGCTTATGAGGAAAAAAAAAAGAGTATTTTTTTGTCAAGCAACACTTCCCTTGCTCAATATGATCTACTCCTTTCTAGCTATGGCCCGGCATGGCCAGGTGGTTATAATGTGACGGTCAATCCCACTATTCGTTTGTAAAAGAGTAGCCCAAGAGTTGGTAGTGTGTGGTGATGACTAGCTGCCTTCCCCCTAGTCTTACACTGCTAAATTAGGGACGGCTAGTGCAGATAGCCCTCGTGTAGCTTTGCGCGAAATTCAAAACAAACCTCTATAGCTCATTCAACGAATACATTCCGAATATTCCAACCATCCCCATAAAGTTGGAATTATTTTAGGTATTATGTCTTGCTATGAAGTTGTTTATTCGCTGTGTATTTGATCGTTGTTCTTTTTTTATTAAAACAAAAATCCGTTAATCCTTAGGTCTTCCTAAGTTTCCACTATTCGACTCGTAACCTGCCGTTCGTGGGTTCGAACACACGTAACCAAAAATGCTCGTCCTTTCAGCCGTAGGGTCACTGTGAAGTTATGGTTAATTCCACTATTCGTGGGTAAAGCGTACTAGTTAATTGCCTTTCAAAATTAGGGACGGCTCGCATAAATAGCTCTCAAGTAGGTTTGTGCGAAATTCAACAAAAGAGACAATCAAATACCCTTCAAGAGAATAACTTTCCACAAGGTAACTTGTTTATGTATAGTACTATCAGCTTTACTCGGCGTTGGTCGGGTTTTCAAAAAAAAAAACTACTCTCTTTGTTTCCCTGTTCCATATTTCGATAGGTAAAAATTATTTTGCGAATTTAAGAAAAAAACATCAATCTTAGGTTTGATTTTTGAAAAAATAAACTGCGAACCTGTTTTAAATCAGAGCTTCCTTATGAATGATGTTTTTATTGGCAAGGATAAATAGACCCTTATGGAGAATATCTAGATTATCTTATACACTATGAGTACCCGTAATGGCGAGCAGGATAGGCCTATCTTTATTCCCCCCATTCCTCGTCATACCTCCTCAAATAAGTATGAAATATTTTGTTGAATTTGCTTTAATGTAAATTTATTATGTTTTATGAATGTGATATTCACATCATGACACTGATGTATGAAATAAATTACAAACAAAATACAATATTGTACTTTGTAATGTATGAAAAGAAAAAATCCACTTCCAGGTATCAAACCACCAGGAGGAAAAAAAGTATAATAAAATAATTTTTACACAATAAGTATTATAATGTAAGCCTTAATATTTTCACATAATATAATTTCATTTTATAGGCTAGGCCTACTGTTTGCTTTTTGCACATACAGCATTCTAATTCTGCATACATTTCTTTGTGTGTGAGGTTATGTATATAATGTATTAGTAGATTTATAATTAATAATCTATAACTAAATAGGCCTATCTATTCTGATGCTAATAAAAGAAAATTCCAGGCTCAACCCATCTTCCACCTTATGCAAGTGTTATACAGTCTTGACTTTAATCTCATTGTGCACAAGTATTTTAACTTAAGCCTTACTTTTTTCACGTAGTCTACTTTATGGCAGATGGCATAATTTTATTTTATAGGCTAGGCCTACAGTGTGCTATTTCACACACAAAATGCTAATTCTGCATACATTTCTTTTGTGTGTCATGTTAAATATATGATGTATTAGTAGATGTATAATTAATTATCTATAACTAAATAAACCTATAATGCTATATTCTAAATTAAATATTAACTCAAACTTACCAAAAAATGTCAAGTCTAGGTATAATTTATTCGTGTAATGTATATGTTAACGATAAAATTACCGGTTCGGCTAGCAGACGATAGAAGAGTATACCAACGAAAAAGTGTCGTTTTGCGCTCCTTCACGTGAGGGAAGTGTGACTTGCGCAGTGGACGCGGCGAACAAACAAGCAAGCAAATAAACATTGTACGCTAATGAAATAGCAGCATAGTACTACATTTATAAATACAGAGTTGTCATCTGCACGCTAATGAAATAGCAGCATAGTACTACATTTATAAATACAGAGTTGTCATCTGTGCGCTAATAAAATAGCAACACAATCTATATATAAAACTCAAAATTTCTCATGACAACTCTGTATTTATAAATGTAGTACTATGCTGCTATTTCATTAGCGTACAAATGACAACTCTGTATTCATATATAGTATTATGTCGTTATTTCGCTAGCGTATAGATAGCAAATGTCTTTATATATCTAGTACTATGGTACTATTTCGTTAGAGCACAGATGACAATTATGTATTTATATACAGTATCATAAATATAGCGTTTCCGATTAAATTCAGCACTTTTTATCTACAAGTTATGTTCCTAAATTCAGTTGATATTGACAATGCTATTGCATGTTTAAGAGCTATTTGGACATTAAACTGTTTATTTCAATCATGAAGTAGCTAGGCCTTTCTATATCGCTTTACGTTGCAGATAAAAAACAATATTTACAACCTTGGGAGATGTACTGATGATTATAAGTTATAATAAGACCAAGAGTAAAAAAGAAGAAGAAGAAAAAACGCCAATCTAACTGGCTGTAAACATATTCAGCTTATGTAATGCAATCTTCGTGTAAGTTATTTTTCAAATGTAAACATAATACGTCCGAAAAATAGTGACATAAACATAATGTTGGTGGAATATCAATACCACTTTTTTCTAGTTAATACTGTTTTATTACATCTTTATTTTCGTTCTTATTTCGATCACTAACTCTAATTATTGATGGATTGGTGTGTTCTGTTTTTCTGTTCTGCTCCTTCAAGATTGAAGGTAGAGATATACAGGATTTTGTTGTCGTACTTTTATTTTCATTGAAAAAAATAAACAAACTTAAATTATTTATAATGAAACTGATTGTTATATTATTTCTTTGCTGTTATTAAAAAACTTAATTTAAGTTTCAAGGATAAACTGTTATTTCTTTCTTGCCTGATTCAAACTTCTGAGTGTGTGTATTACTTCAATTCTTCTCATTAGTTTATGCATTTATTTCTAGACTTTAATATCAGGTTAATGAGACAACCATTCTTTATGTTTTACTATTATTATTAATCTAAGAATACAAATTAGAATTCTTATGACAAGCTAATCCCCAAGCCTAAAAAAAACAAACTGAGACATGCCTCCAGCTTTACAGGCTACGTCAGCGTTCCTTGTACTTTGACTCTATTCTTGTTTTCGAAAGCAAATTCATGAGATGAAAAACAAAAAAAAACTCTTCTGAAGCCTAGTTACAGAAAATCATATATGTCTGGAACCCGATATTATTATTTTTTCTTGTACTAAAACCTGATCCTGTACTTAATAATATGAGACCGTTTCGCTGTGCATACTTTAAACGTAAGAGGAATACATGCCGTTCACTAACCCTATTCCCGAGTGTAATATGATAGCCTGTTTTCTAAATTTTCATAGCACACCAATTTCAATCTAAGTAAAACGAGAACTCTTTTTATCAATTTCAATTTTCATAACTGAAGACGTGTGTCATGTTGATGATCGCCTTGAAGATATGAAGGTGAATTGATGGTGTCTGTGTATGTATAGATCAGTAGATATGTTTTTTGTTTTTGAATTTCGCGCAAAGCTACACGAGGGCTATCTGCGCTAGCCGTCCCTTATTTAGCAGTGTAAGACTAGAGGGAAGGCAGCTAGTCATCACCACCCACCGGCAACTCTTGGGCAACTCTTTTACCAATGAATAGTGGGATTGACCGTCACATTATAACGCCCCCACGGCTGAAAGGGCGAGCATGTTTGGTGGGACGGGGATTCGAACCCGCGACCCTCGGATTGCGAGTCGAGCGCCCTAACCACCTGACCATGCCGGGCCAGTAGATATGTATAAGCACACATATGTGTACATACATAAATATTTTCAATATTCAAACCAGTCAATATAAAGTCGTGGTGGAACGGATGTATGAGAACTATATTTTAATATTGTTTGGTGTTCGTAGATAATGTGATGTCACAAAAAATTGATCATTTTTTGAAAGGGCATGTAACAGCCCATTCCGAAGCAAAATATTCATATTGTCAGATCATCAGGGTGTGTTCAGTTCTTAGATATCGCTTGGACTTAATATATTTGGAAAAACGAAGAAATATCGATCAACTTGGGGCACCAGGACCACCCAGAAAGAGGCCCGTAACAAGTCTTACCCCTGCCTTGATAAGCAAAGTTTAACATTTTGTAATTTGTGAGAATCCACAAACAAATACGTTAGTGACAAAAGCATTCCACGTGACCTAGGCAACAGTGGTAAAATAATCAAGAAGGATCTTTGTCTAGAAAAGCAGCACAAGTCAAATGTACACAAGTTATTTTCACAATGTATCTGTTTAACTATTTCGCACCTCAGGTAGCTGTAGAATGAAACGGGTGATCATGATTTTCCATACACAGACATACCTGTAAGGTAGCCTAAAAATTTCTGTTTGACCAGAGTATTGTAACAGGTGCTTGGAAACCTTTGTCCTCGTATACTAGAGAGCTTATTGAAACCCTGCATGGAGTATTGGTGTGCGTTTGACATGACAAACTTACGACCGAACATCTTTCAATGGAAACTACGCTGTAGGGTTATTGTCAAGATGCATGACTGTCAAAATGAACATCACTGGTAATGGCGACATGTGCGGTAACGACGTTGTGAAATTCCAAAACCATTTGGATATAACGTACTAAACCTCTGTGTATTGCTAAAAAAAAGAAAAAAGAAAATCCGAAAAACAATCGGCAGTATATTTTCAAGTAAATTTGGCGAATTAACGTATTTTAACGAGCATCGCATCACTAAAAAAAAGAATGGTGTATTTCCCTCAAATACAACATATATTTATTGAAATATGTTTAGGCTCGCAGTGCAATTCTGATTTCTTTTTTGTCAACCTTTGAAATTGAAGAAGTACAAAAAATAAAATAGTTTTCAGAATTAACATTGATATGTTTTAATAGAGTGGGGAAAAAAACTTGCTCGTTTAGGTCATTTTCCGATATTAAAATATCAGTATTTGTTTTTGTTGCTGAGTTATACCAGAAGAAACACATAGAAAATCTGATATCACAGACTGTCTTATGTTTGTTTGTTTGAAGTTAAGTACAAAGCTACACAATGGGCTATCTTTTATCTGCCCACCACGGGTATCGAAACCCGGTTTCTAGCGTTGTAAGTTCACAGACATACCGCTGTGCCACTGGGGGACAACTGTCTTATGACGTGCATCTCTACAAAAACCTATGTTTCTAGGTTTATAATAAACAAGCAAACAAAAAGAAATCTAAATACACAACAATTACGATATAAACCTATGGTTAATTCTAGAATAACAATCCTAATTATTTGAAAAGTTTTTTTGTTGTGCAAAACTTGAAGATAGTTTTTATATACGGAAACATCTGTTAGCTGAGTTCTTGCACGGATCTTCAAATATACCATGTAGATTTGCCATTTTTAAAACTGAACAGGAATGTGAGTGTTTCTTACAAGACCTAAACTCGTTGCATTCGGCTGTCAAATTTACTTTTGAAAATGAACAACATAACTCTTTATCGTTCCTAGATGTCTTAGTTGAAAAAGATGACTTTCGTTTTCTCACCAGTATATACAGAAAACCTACCTTT